ATGGGTCTTTGGTTTTCGTTTTGTAGACACATAGGCGTCTGGGAAGATTCCATTCCAGATGGGTCCTCGTATGTAAAATAATAGAATAGAATTGAAATTGCCAAAAACCTTCAAGGGTCTTAGACAATGCAAGAAAACAATTGCATATATTTTATCTATATTTGTCTTCGGTTGAGGCAAGTGGCATTTCTGAAAGAATCAGGCCTATATTATTCGTCAGATCAATAGACGCTGCAATCACCGTATTTTAAAGAATATTTTATCTCTCACCTTGACCCTCGCCACGGCGAACGGCGCCAAGGTATGGATCCGCGCATGTGGTGTGTGAAAAAAACGTTTTGAGAATGTGCCTATGGTGTCTGGAAATTGCACTCTCACACCTTAAAAATCTTACCCGTAAGTCATAAACAATGACAATAACAGTATTTTTATTAATACATTTTATGGGGTAGTGATCACACCGTCTGCACCACTACCTCCAGCATCCGACCCCGAGCCCTCGTTATGATGCTTATATTTCTTTATATACAGTAGTTTCATATTATTTCCTATTACAGCGGATTTAATTGTTCGGGTATGACGTCATGTAACCTTATTTACCCTGGAAGCAATGGTTTGCAATATCAGGATCCAAACGGACAGAGTTGGTATTTTGGTATGAATTACAGATTATCTCAATATTGTGAATAATACAATTTAAGTTACATTCACCTCCATTTTATTTTCAATGTTAAATTACGGAACGAAAACGAAAGCTCAAGGAAATATATAATAATGATTCTTAATTTCATCTTTGTTTATAGACGATGCACGTGTGGTATATCCATCTCCAAACTGCTTCAAATATATACCAATGAACGGAGCAAAGCAGTCATGTATTGATACTCAGCGTGAATGCGAAAAAGTAGGCGGAAACATCACCGTAATAAACAGTTTTCATGAATACCAAGCGTTGACAGTGGTCGTGAACTCTATTATGTTAGACACAGCGGAATTTGATATAAAATTCAAGGTTTTTAACCAAGCAGCTATCATAGAATTAGGCCTATACCTGTATAAAGGGTGTACAACATTTACAATCAAGAATCTGATTAACAAATTTCAAGTCTCGGGGCAGAACACCGATTGCTTTGCAACTTCTCAGGTAGACGCTATTATTTGCGAGTCGTCAGGTAGGTTTTGGTCACAAGTGGATCAGAGAAATCCTAATAAAGACTATTAGGCCTACTCAATAGCACAGGATTTATTTTTCTTTTCTTTTTAATTGAGAGCTGAATTAGCTGCTACCTATATTTTATAACCATTATCATGGGTGTGGTTGTTACTGTCTCGATATATTGTTTGTTGAAGCATAGAGAAAATACTATTTTCTCTATGGTTGAAGTAACACAATACGGTATAACGTGTAGCCAACACAGCTATAAATCAAGAAAATTAAATGTCATGTAATTGTATATAATACTGTAATCATTAGTGTTCAATTTGTTTGCTTCTGTTGTTCCTTTATTTCAGTAAACTTCCACTGCTTTAATGCAGGCTATAAAGTTCTACAACTTGAAAACTACAAACTAATTTCAGCATACGAGTTAGAAGAGTGCGAGGTAACAAATTCGACAAATTCGGCAAAAACTCGTAGGACGATTCTGGAAGCTCGGGGAGAACTCGTAGCTCGTGAAGTACTCGGGGTACTCCACCTAACTCGTACTTAATACTCTTCCACCTAGTTTAGTTTCATCCAAGAGTCGCATGAGTTCTAAGAGTTAAAAACTCGTCATATAATTCGCTTGGTAAAGGACCTCTATACATGCTATCTACGGCTTAGCTACGAGTGAGGTGCGACCTTACGGAGTTGGTTACGACAAGCACCTAGTTTACAACGAGCTATATTGCCAGCGTAACGAGTTTGTACCGAATTAAATACCGGTACGAGTTAGGTACGAGCGTTCCGATCAAATGTTCCTGGTCATCGTAACCAACTCGGTGTGCTCGTATTTAACTCGTACTCATTTTGGGTGGGTTGCTCGCATCAAACTAGTGGGTTAAGTTTAAATCACATATAGGATAACAAAAATAATTTGCAAAATAAACTTCTTATTCTCCTTCAGAACAATTAATGACATTTTATTACATTCTAATGCTGTAATTAAACTTTGTAATACTGGGTAAAGTTTATGAAATTTAAGATTTAACATTTCAACCACTATTCATGTTGACGTCAACAGATGTTGTTAAGACTTCAAGATGGTTCCCGTCAATGGGATTCAACTACGTGGCATGATTTTTGTCTACTTTACCATACTTTAGGTTTTACACACTTATGTAATTTTATGTTTATTGTTAACGATCTAATTTTAAGTTACAAAAATATCCAATTAAAAATGACATTATTTACTTCTTTTTTTAAAAGATGTGAATATTGCAAAAATATGTCCCAAGCCAAGAATAGGCCTACAACCGACGAAAAAGCCAAACGAGAACAATTAATGACATTTTACTGCATTCTAATACTTTAATTAAACTTTGTAATACTGGGTAAATTTTATGAAATTTACCGCGCAAGAGTTCAACCACTATTCATGCTGACGTCAACAGATGTTATTAAGTCGTCAAGATGGATCCCATCAATGGGATTCAATTATATAAAGTACGGTTTACCACACTGAAGGTTTTATCTCCGAGATTTTACACACTTTTGTAATTGTATGCTTATTGTTAACGACCTAATTTTAAGTTACAAAAATGTTCAATTAAGAATGACATTTGTTTTTTTTTTTCTTTTTAAAGATGTGAATATTGCAAAAATATGTCCCAAGCCAGAAATACCATCGACGAAATACGAGCCAAAGGATCCACAAAATGAGACAAAGGATCAGCAAAACAAGACGACAGTCTCTGTTAAGACGACAGCGATAATTGCCTCGGTCATTGGCACGATAATACTAAGTTGCTTGTATGGTTGTATCCGACAGTATCAGAGAACAACAAATCTTGGGTAAATAACGCCATCACGTTATTATATTTCTATTACTATCACTATTATTACTATTACTATTAATAGTATTGCTATCACTATTACTATTAATACTATTATAATGTGGCACACTCCACAGCTAATGTAGTAAAACTCTCCGCTAATGTAGAAACACCAACAGCTTATGTAGTAAAAAGAAAATCAACCCCAGCTAATGTAGAACGCTCAACAGCTAATGTAGTAACGAAAATTGCCACACAGCTAATGTAACTACTATCGCCAGCTAATGTAGAATATAGTATAAAATCTTATATCAATGTGGAACATGTGGAGGTTGCTAATGCTAGCTTTAAACAATTACGTCTTTAAATTATTATCAGCAGTATTGCTTTTCGTCTTCCGTTTTGATGCTTGTTTGTTGTTTGCCATCTCACTGTATATTCCTCAATGAATATTGTTCTATATATAAATAAATTATAAGATAAATTACCTCAGACGGGAATCGAACCAATGTGAACCCCATTAACACTAAACCACCACCATTTTATCATATAATAAGGTATTTTATATGGCTATATTATTTTTATATATTTTGCTCTGGCGAAGGGCTATATACCAAGGTAAGGCCTTCCTTTCTGGCTGTTTACTTTATATAGGCCTATAATAAGATCAGGGGCGGATCTGGGTTGAAACTTACAGGGGGGGGGGGGGGGGGAGGGGGAAGAAAGTTTCTAAAAAAAACTTCAAAAAAGAAAGGGGGTGTGTCCTCCCCCGGGAAATTGTTTATTCCTAGATGGCGGGAAATTAGCTTTCCAGACTTCTGAAGTGTCTTTTAATGACTTAAGTTCTTCAAAATTCAAGTTTTTTATGCCCTCTTGAAACTTGAAAACGTTCAGATAAATGTTTTCATTCTTATTACAGATAGGCATATCATGTCATATAGGTCTATATAGGATTGGGTGTCCTCCCCGGGAAAAATTTGATTCCTAGATGGCGGGAAATGAGCTACAACTCAATTACTATTACTATCATTATCATTATCGTTATTGTTATCGTTGTTTTCATTGTTGCTCTTATTATTATTATTATTATTATTATTATTATTATTATTATTATTATTATTAACCTTCAAAATTATAGATGATTTATAGTAAGTTTTATAAAGTACACCATTATTTAAAGCTAAAAATAAACTATGGTAACGATATAAATCTTTAAATACAATAAACATAACTATCTACGTTGGCCTTTTCCATGTATAGTACAACAAATATTTAAATACATTTATAATGAACAATAACCAGTCATTGACGCTTAGTACTCTGGGAACAAACACACCTAACTAGAGATGACTCCAGGATTGCCCGACGGGGGTTCCAAGGTCCCCAAAAGAAGGGGGGGGGGCGCGATGTCCCCGACGAGAGCAAAGTTGGCGTAGTCAGGCGTCGGTAAAAAATGTTTGAAAATGATTCTGGTGAGGAGAATAGGCCACGAAAAAAAAAGACAATTTAGAGGTTTTAGAGGCTTATTTAATGGATTATAGTATCTACTGTGGGAAACAATGGCTGGATCTCAGTAGAGATACAAAAATGATAAGCAACAGTTAAAAAGTAGACGTAAGTAAACAGCAAGAAATAGAACCAGAGCTTTCGGACAACACTAGTCCTTCCTCAGTGGCGAGTGAGTGAGGGTAGAAAAAGCTAGATGGTATAAAGTGAGATATATATATATATAAAGGTTTCTCTCGGCGAATTGTGGTTTTTCTACCCGGCAAGAAGGGGTGGGGGTAGGGGTGACAGCTCCCCCACGCTGGCGCCACCCTTGAACATTGACCTAAAAACCTATCATAACAAGCGTTGCAGACGTTTAAATATACGAGTATTTGATGATGACGTTTATCAATACTGTTATTTTTGAGGCGCCAAATGTACTTTCATTATTTAACAAAAATAATTATATACATATTCATTATCTAACATATGATTCAACATTTCTTCATTACATACATATAATTAGTTTGGTCTCTTAACTTGATGGAGCGATTTTCATTATTTATGAATAACAACAACTAGCAAAACATTAATTATAAATAATTGAAGTGCCGAAAGTCATTATATATAAATAATGATTTTACTATAGCCATTATATAGTATATAGTATATATATATATATATATATATACATACATATATATATATATATATATATATTTAATAAAATTATATACATATAAGTAGATTTCGCACCTTTAAAAAAATATATACCTAAGTACATTTGGAGCCTCAAATCGCCAAATTTAACAAAATTATATACATATAAGTACATTAGGCGAAATAACAAAATTATATACATATAAGTACATTTGGCGCCTTATAATTTTGTACTTATACGCATATAATTATATATATGTACTTTCATTATTTTACACGATTATACACATATAAGTATATATAATTCAACATCTGTTCATTATATATATATAAATTTTGTCTCACAATTAAATATAAATCATTGGTGAAGCGATTTTCATTACTTATAAATAAGTTAACGCTGCAACACATAATTTATAAATAATTGAAGTGCCAAAAGTCATATATAAATAATGATTTTACTCAATCAATATATCAAATAATTGTTAACATCGTATTATTTATAAATGTTGAATTATATATAAATAATGAATAAATGAAAGTACTTGGCGCCTCATAGTTAGGCCTATGGGAAAACTTTTGGGCGTTGAACTAAAACGCATTGGTACTTCATATATATTCAGAAATGGCACTCATGTAGTTCAATATCAAGTACCTGTTGAAGATGTACGGCAGACTGAGTTACATACCACTGTTGCTGTTGCCCAAAATTACGACCCAATATCAGCTAACAAATGTGTGAACCGGGATGTAACAGATAATATTCGATACCATGATGCCGAATTTAATGTCGCCTACGAAGACACCGCAGCAGCTAAAGCAAGAAGTGGTATGCCGTGATACATCAGCTTGAAGTAGCAACGGTATACCAGGATTCAGGTAGAGCCTACACTATATTTTATAAATGCAGAATACGAGTTGAAGATTATGATATGAGGATAAGAAATTGATCAGAAAACCTTGTAAATGCTTTCCTGCAGCCGACCATTTTAACCTGCCTGATCAATCCATACAAGACTTCATAAATGCGATCTCATTGGTACTAATTTTAAACCACATGCTCATTGCCTCTGTTCTGAACATAACTGGATACTCAAACACAAAACTTATTCCTATGCTTAAACAAAGACCTCTGCTTTCTTGCAGCTACACTTTTTTTTCAATTCTTAACTCACTTGGCTTATCTACTCTTCATTTCATACTGCCACTCAAATTGTATTCCTATCAGCTCTGACGTTCTGTGTGCATTGTTTAAAGGCCAACTCAGACAGCGTCGTACGACGCAGCCCGACGCGATTTGTTGTCGTCGGTGGCAGTCGCGTCGTAGAATATTAAACATGTTTAATATTTCTCACGACGGCTTAAGACTGTCCCCGACGATAAATCGGGTCGGGCTGCGTCGGCCGACGCTGTCTGGGTTGGCCTTTAGTAGTTCATTTGTGGATATGCGATTTTGTACAGATATTCGTCAAACACTGAAAAAAGAACACAGGCCCGTTTTAATAATGAATAAAAACAATATTAACAATTATATTCACAGTTTATCTTCTATTTCAATTACGTAGTAGTTTCATGCATGTAGTTACTCCATTTTTTGAGTGTCTGCGTCCGCCGCCAAAACTTCAATTTTTGAAGATTGCGTACTATATAGGCCTATGCGGAAATTCAAAATTCGGAATTTTAAAACTATTAATTAAACAACCTCTCTCTCTATACATAAAGAAAGTAAAACTGTTAATCAACCCTCCGATTTCGGAAATCGGAGGTTTGATTGAAAGTTTGAAAACTACGATTTTTAAGTTTTTGCGTATAATACGCAACCTTCAAAAACGGAGTTTTGGCGGCGGCCGCAGACACTTCGATTTCGAATAAACTACATACCTAGTAATTTATTAAAAATCATTATATTGACAGCCTATCTTCTATTTTAATTTCTTATTATTTTAGGCGTTGACAGAATGAAACAAATTACACAGAGTGATCAGAATTTTTCAGCAGGCAGTTCTTAACCATTATGTCATTAACACGCAGACCGCCATCTGAATGTTAAAAATTTACCGGACGTTGTCATCGATATACCTAATAAAAATGTCTATGCATGCTGCTGGGAGTCCAACAAAGAGGAAGAAACTATTACTGCACCCTAACCTATGTTGAATTCTGCTCCATGGTTGAATGAAAAGCCACACGCAACGGATCGTTTTTAAGCACGATCTGTTCAGACTGGGTTCTCATACGGAATAGATTATCTGTGCAGAGATGAGTCCTTGTATTGTTTGCGAATTTTTGCTCAAAGATATTTTATTATTATATATCAAATTCACCTTTATGACAAGATTGGTAATCAAAATTGAGGATTAAAATAGGAAGTGGAGGTGGGGATAGAAGTACATTTGAAGGAAGAGTTAATAGGAATGATTTATTTTGTAACTCATTAATCTGTTGATAGATTTTACCCTTTTATACGTAAACTAATGTTTCAGTAGTTTAGGTGTCAGTCAGGGGCGAATCCAGCTGGGGAAAGTGGGGGCCTATTCCCCCTCCCGTCAGTCCCACAGAAAAATAATTGAGAACAAAATTGAAAAGAGCTCATAAAGGGAGGAAAGAGGGGAAAAGGCAGTGTAGCCATGAGTTCACCCAGCTAGAAGAGCTATCCATGCTTAGTGGTTTTAACGCTCTCGCGTTCCTAACGCCACCGACTCTTAGGGTCCCCTCCAGTGCGCCTACCTATCGGGTCTTCGCTCTATAGCACCATGAGCCAAAAGGGCATTGCTGATACACAACGCCATGTGTCTCTGACATCGACTTTAGGACATGAGTCATATTTTTCCACTGGTGGAGGGGGGGGGGGTTGAGGTGCCCAGCCGGACGGAACCCCCTACATTTGTCATTTTTTTAATGGATAAAATATTAAAATTTCAAGTCTGAATGAGTACCATTTCCCTCTCCTCCTTAATTTTGTTCAAAATTTTAAAAAGAAATTTAGAAAAAAGGAAATTTTATAATCAAATTTAGGTACGGGATTGCAATTTCCAGTGTCATAGTCATACATTTTTTTTTTGCCTAAGTTGGTATAGTTTGCTGTAGACAAAATGGCTTTATTTATATTAAATAGCATTGTAAGAAATTTGCATTTTATTTTAGATTACTTAATATATATTTATATTTAGACCACTATATTTACACTGACAACTTAAGGAATGGATTCAAATCTGAAATAGCAGCGGTTACTACACTAATAGCATGTTATGATGTTTAATTGAGCTAGCAATGGCCGCGCCATGGCCATAAATAAATGGCATGCACGCCTGTCATGAGCAATATTTATATAGTGTCTTGATTGTTTTAAAGTTTAATATCAACATAAGTTTGCATCAGAAACAGATATCAGAGACAATAACAAGAATTATTGAGAGGCATGTTAAAATACCTGTAGTTCTTTTATTGTTGTTTCTCAGTTGTTGATATCTTTTTGCTAGCCTAATAAAATGAGTTCTAAAGCATCACACAGAATTTGGCCTATTATTATTTTCCAATGATTTACCTTACAGCCGTGAGCCTATTTCCGGGGTGTGGAATGATTTAACACTGAGGGCTGTTAATAAGTTGGAGATTTTTCAAAGAAAACCACCACATGTACGGTACATTTTAATACTATATACCTTTTTACAGATGATTGGTGGTCGAGTCATAAAAACAGGGGGTTTTCAAGCCTAAGATCAGTGGCAACGCCAGCATCTAAAATCTTGGGGGGGGGGAGGGAAGTGAGGAGGGGAAAGGTACGATATTGTCACCGACAAAAGCAAAATGAGAGTGGTCAGGCGTCCATTCAATATTAAGAAAGTGGTCCAAGGGCAGAGCCTTCAAAAAATATGACAATTTAGTGGTTTCAGAGGCTTATTTAATCGATTATATATATATTTTTTATATTGATTTTATAGATAGTCTACTAATATGTAGAAAATACATATAATTTTTTTTCTTCAAGACGAATTCTGGTTTTTCTTATTTTCTGGGAGGCAAGAAAATTTTCTGGGCCATGTGACATGTTTTTGTCAAATACAATTTCATAGCCTAAATTTAAACAAAAAATTAACAAACACACACTGCTCCACTAAACAGTTTCATAGATTCAGTTCATCTTAATGTTATGATTAGAGAGGTTTTGCAACCTTACGAAAACTATAACAAATACGAATACCTGTACATCATTACTGTTATCGGCATTAGTGGCTAAAACATTCTTGCCAGGACAATAGTTACACTGCCTGGTCATTCATTATTTCTTCAGGTTGTTAGTTTCTCAGGTCTTTAGTTGCTTTTACGAGTCAAAAGTCAACAAAGTATAAAAACTTCTGTGCACTTTCATCTCACAAATTCAACAATAACACACAACCAACATCGTTTTTATATAACAATCTTATTGTCAATTTGCGATTTAATTTTTTCATTCTAATTTTTTCTGCGTTTCCATTGCTCTGAGTTTTTGTAACGCCGGTGGTATTGTGGGGTCCAAGGGGAGCAGTCCTGCGGCCACTATACGGCTTTCATTTACGAGGTAGTTGAACGTAGCACAAGCGTGCCTCTGAAAATAAATGTAAAAAGAGAATGTCTTTTCTAAGCAGTAGATGCGAGTAATGCAGACTGGCCTTATGTGAATAGTAATCATGA